ACAATTGCTCCAACAGTTGATCTGTTTTCACCAAGCTGCTTGGCAATTGCCCCGTAGCCCTTTCCAGCCCTGTAGAGGTCAACAATTTTGTCTCTGGTGTCTTTTGACAGCTCTTTGGTCTTGCCCATGGTAGTAGTTGGCGTCTGACTGACTGTGGGGTGGACAGGTGTCTTTAAAGAGCTCAGACAGGTGCTACTAAGTTAGATTAATGAGTGGAGTAGAGGTGGACTTTTTAAAGGCACAGTAACAGGTCTTTGAGAGCCAGAATTCTTGCTGTTTCTTAGGTGTTCAAATACTTATGTTCAGCAGTGCAAGACAAATAAATTCTTTAAAAATCATACAATGTGATTTTAAATTCTGTCTCTCAGAGTGGGAATGCACCTACAATGTGAATTTCAGACCCCTCCATGATTTCTAAGTGGGAGAACTTGCAAAATCGCAGGGTGTTCAAATACTTCTGTTCCTCACTGTATATAGCATAGTGGCTAAATGGTTAGCACTTCCGCCTGGCAGTACTAGGGTTGTTGGTTCAAATCCCAGCCACAGCACCTCCTTCCTGGAGTTTGCATGTTCTCCCTGTGCCTGCATGGGTTTCCTCCCAAACTCTGAAGACATGCTGGTAGGTGCATTGGATCCTGTCTAAACTGACCCTAGTATGTGTATGTATGAATGTAAGTTAGGGACCTTAGATTGTACACCCCTTGAGGGTTAGGGACTGATGTGAATGTACAATATATATGTAAAGTGCTGTGTAAATTGACAGCGCTATATAAGTACCTGAAATAAATAACAATAGTGTACAGTATATATTTATATCTTATGCTCCAAGCATGGAAAATAATACATTTTGGATAGAACAATTAGACCAGGTTTTTTTTTATTATTATACAGGATTTATATAGCGCCAACAATTTGTTCAGCGCTTTACAATATAAAAGGAGACAATACAGCAACAATACAGTTCAATACAAGAGGGTTAGGAGCCAGGGGCGGACTGACCATTTGGAAACTCGGGGGCCGAGGTCAGTAGGGGCCCCATGAGATGCCCCTGGTACCTTTTTCATAGGCTTTTTTGAGTTTGGGCAAGAACACAGGGGCCCCATGATCCCCTATTGCCGGGGGCCCCATGAGTTGTCAGTCCTCCCCTGGTTAGGAGGGCCCTGATCCTTGGAGCTTACAATCTAAGAGGAAGTTTAGGAACATAGGAGAGTTATGGCAGAAAAATGACCAAGTAGTCCATCAAGTTGAGTCTGACCCCTTTTTTTTTTTTTTTTTTTAACTTTTTTGTATTAATACTTACAGTACAGTGTCAGTGCTTTTTATTAGCACTGATCACTGTATTGGTGTCACTGAGAATGTCAGTGGCAGTTAGTTAGTTCCCCCCAGTGTCAGAATGCCCGCTGCAGTCCCGCTATAAGTCGCTGATCGCCGCCATTACTAGTAAAAAAAAAAATTAAATAAAAAAATTCCAGTATCTATACCGTCATTTTTAAACGCTAGAACTTTCACGTAAACCAATTAATTTACATGTATTGGGATTTTTTTTTTTAGCAAAGACATGGAGCAGAATACATTTTGGCCTAAATTTATGACAACATTAGATTTTTTAAATGTTTTTACTGGATATGTTTTATAGCACAAAGTCAAAAATATTGTTTTTTTTCTCAATTGTCTGTCATTTTTTTGTTGATAGCCCAAAAAATAAAAAAACACAGGCAATCAAATACCACCAAAAGAAAGCTCTATTTGTGGGAAAAAAAAAGGATGTAAATTTAATTTGGGTGCAACGTTGCATGACCGCGCAATTGTCAGTTAAAGTAACACAGAGCCGTATTGCAAAAAATGGCCTGGTCAGGAGGGCAAGGGGTTAAACCTAAAATGTACTAAAATAGCATAAGGATATTACATGTTTCAAAAAGATTAGTCTTAGATTGAAATCTAAACGGAAAAAGATGATGACATTTTCACTTACGTAATCAGTGCTGATTGGTGAATGAAGTTAGATTTCACAGACAGATTGTTAGATCAGATATTTCTGTTTTACGAAAGAGAGCGGGGCCAGAAAACAAGTAGAGCATGCTGTCCCTTTTCTGTGATCCCATTCTGATCTAATTCAGTCTAGTGTCCGTGGAGAAGAACGCTGAACCCCACCATAGCGTCCTAAAAAGCTTAGTTGTGCCTAGGCCAAGTACCCTGAAAATGCAGCTTCTGGGGTGTCAGGGGTGTCAGTTTCATCACGGGCGGCATCAGCATTGTGGTTGTCCTCAAACGGCTGGTTGTATCTATAACACTAGATGTCCAGAGCACCCCACTCCCCCTTACATCAGATGTCAAGAGACCCCTCACCATCAAAAGTCCTCCACCCTCCCTTACATCACAGTGCACCCCCCCCTTACCTTGTGCTGCTGCCGGGAAGAAGCTGAGGGTGGAGGAGGACCAGAGGAGATCTGGAATCAGTTGCCAAAGTCTGCTAAATGCTGAGATCTAAGAGAGGTGTGAGGGCCACATGAAATGGCTTGATGGTCCAGATTCAGCCCATGAGCCTTGTGTTTGACTCACGTCTTAGGAGATTTGGGGTGAGATTTGGTGATGTCACTACTGTGCTGTTCTCTGTTCTCCTTACTGGAGGTTCTGACATGAGGAAGGGAAGCCCTGCCTCTAAGAAAGATGGCCACCTCCAAGTAGAGACACAGTGAAGAACAAGGCATGGTAAGCCAGTAATGGGGAAAAGTTCAGCTAGCGGGAGACCACAGGCAATTCTGGTGACCAGTCCTTTGAGCCCTACTTCCTTGTTTTTGGGCATAGCTTCCAGAGTTCGGTTTTTTCTCTAACAACATAACTTAAATTGGAACTCCAAAATTCTCCATTACAAAACTTTTCAAAATCTTTTTCTAGTTATTTTCTGGTCATTTTACTCCTTTTTGTCGATTATAAGCAACCTAAACTAATTCCAGCAAGCACATACCTGTGAAGAAGAGAGGGGAAAACTAACTTTCCCGACGCACAAACTGTTGTCCTCTGCTGCTTTTTACAACAATTGTCCCCCAAAGTCTGCTGGGAAATCCGTACTTCTGGGAGTGTTGATCTTCCTGGTCCCCTGTAGCTCTCTTTGGTTTCTCCTGATGACCTCCACACCATTACAGGAGACAGCAATGACATGGAGGTCAGCGGGAGGAACCAGTGACAGTTGCGGAGAATCCAGGAACTTGGCACTCCTGAAAGTGTTGGTTTCCCAGCAGACCATTCCAGTTGGGTGGAGTGGAGTTCAGGAGTATGGAGTCTGTTCTTTACGCCAGAATTTCACAACCCTTTTTCAGTCATGGCACCCTTTAAAACATGCAAAATTCATAGTCAACCCAGCCTAAAACCCAAATGCTACTTATCAATGGGAAAACTGACCCTGGGATGCAATTAACTTTGCATCAAATTCTCCCCCTTCAGGTCAGAGGCACCCCATTATGTCAGAGGCTCCCCCTTCACATCAGAGGCCCACAGCACATCAGTGTCCCCCTCCTACATTAGAGGCCTCCCTTTACATGAAAGCCCCCCAATCACATTGGAGTCCCCAGATAACTACAGAATCCCCCCATCAGCCTCCATGGCGCCCCCAAGCAAGTAGTCTCCGGATTACAGAGCTCCCCAGACACAGTCTGACCCCCATCACACACCCCCTAATTACACAGACCCTACATCACAGAGCCCCCAAATGACACAATTCCTCCCATCACAGAGCTCCTCAATCACGCAGTCCCCTCTTCACATGAGAAACGATGGAAGTGGGCAGGAGGAGACTTTCATGCCCTCCTGTCCCATATGGAAGTTTTCTCTTATATATTTGTATATATTTGAAAAATATTCTTCCCAAATATATTGACATATATTTGAAACGCTACAATTTTGGCCATATTCAATATATTAAAAAAAAAAAATATATATATATATATATATATATATATATATATATATATATATATATATACACACATACTTATACTGTATATACTGCATGTTGAAATGAGTTTTTATTACAAAATATATGAAAAATATTTTTAAAAATAGATTTCAAAATATACTGCATGTCTTTAAAAATACAAATCTACATTTTTGATATACATTTACAAAATCTAAAAATATATGTTAAAATTACTTTTTTATGTTAAAAAAAATCTGAAGAATATATTTAAAAAAAAAAAAAAAAAAATATATATATATATATATATATATATATATATTGCATGTTGAAATGATTTTTTTTTTTACAAAATATATGAAAAATATTTTTAAAAATAAATTGAAAAATAAAAAAAAATAAATTGAAATATGTTTTGAAATATATTGAATATGGCCAAAATTGTAGCATTTCACATATATGTCAATATATTTGGGAAGAACCTTTTTAAAATATTTTTCAAATATATTTTTCTTCCATGTGGGGTATTCTGGAGGGTGGTCCTGCATTTTGCTTGCCCTGGACCAGCATCATGCATTGCCATAGTGCCAGTGGGCCAGCTGCAACAAATGACACCATCTTGGCCCTAGAGCGTCATTGGTTGTTATGGTGCTGGTGATCTGACCAAACCACACAAAGGCAAGTGATCCAGGGACAACTGGATCCTATGCTTGCGGCGCCCTTGGGAAACCCAAAGCCACTGCTACTTTTACAAGGTAATATCTTGGTTTGCAATGGCATTTTGTCACACTAATCCGATCTATATCCTTGGGCCCAGGGGCGGACTGACCATTTGGAAACTCGGACACTGCCCGAGGGCCAGGGGTCAGTAGGTGGCCCCATGAGATGCCCCTGGTACCTTTTTCATAGGCATTTTTGAATTTGGGCAAGGACACAGGGGCCCCATGATCCCCTATTGCTCGGGGGGGGGCCCCATGAGTTATCAGTCAGCCCCTGCTTGGGCCTCACTAAGGAATATATTTGAATGAATGGTTTTTTTGCACCCGCAGTTGAGTATTAATGTGTTCCATTTGCTGCTTGTGTATTGCAGGAGATTTATCAGTGGTGCGGATCGACATGCAATAAATATGAACGGTTTAAGGCTGCGCAAGTGGCCAACGGAATCCGCGATAATGAAAGAAACGGGAGAGCCCAGCTCATCGTCGTGGAGGAAGAAAGTGAACCGTGCGCTCTCACAAAGGTAAAGGCTACCATTGTGCTGAATTTTACATTCATGTATTTGGCTGGTGGATGGCCAGGATTAACCCGGACACCAGGAAAGTCAGATTCCTAGAAACGCAGTTCAGATGAGTTCCGGATACGTTTCCGCATGTGCGTTTTTTATGCATTCCAGTTCATTTTTATCCTCTCTTTTACTTCAATTTAAATAAGGACATGTGCATTCCAGTGCATTTTGATGCGTTTTACCGCATTCCAGTACAGTTCTGTGCCTAAAAAAAATGCAGCGTGTTTTACTTTTTTTTTCTGCAACCGGAACGCACTGGAACTGCTAGCACTGATGAGAACTATGACACTGACCACCATATCACCTACTTTCTGTGTGTTTTGGATGCAGAAAAATAAGCGACTGAAACGCATGGAGTGTGAACCGGCCCTTAAAGGGGCCAGCAAATTAACTAAAATAAAGCCATGTGCTCTGATTTTATCCCTGGGTTGCTGTAAGCTGCATTGTGCATTACAGATAACCAGGGCTTTGATCAGCGGGAACATGACTGCACACATATCCGGCACCTCCAGCACTGAATTGAGGGTCTATTGATTCTGGCTACTGGAAGATCTGTTGTCGATGGGCAGTGTAGTGGTGCTGGCTACTGGTGAGGTGATCTACTGTTTCTGACTTTTGGGGGATCTATTGTTGTTGAGAGCAGTCTATTGTTGCTGGGGTGGATAAATTGTTGCTGGGGGTATTATATTACTTAGGGGATCTATTGTTGCTGGGGAAACTGTTGCAGAGGAGGATCTTTTGTTGCTGGGGAAGATCTATTGTTGCTGGGGAAGATCTATTGTTGCGGTGGAAGATCTGCTGTTGCTGGGGAAGATCTGCTGTTGCTGGGGGCTCTATCTATTGTTGCGGTGGAAGATCTGCTGTTGCTGGGGAAGATCTGCTGTTGCTGGGGGCTCTATTGTCGCTGTGGGGATACATTTGTTGCAGGGGGATATACTGTATTGTTGCTGGGGAGGATCTATTGCTGCAGGGGGCTCTATTGTCACTGTGGGGATACATTTGTTGCAGGGGGATATACTGTATCGTAGCTGTGGAGGATCTATTGCTGCTGGGGGCTCTATTGTCGCTGTGGGGATACATTTGTTGTAGGGGGATATACTGTATCGTTGCTGGAGAGGATCTGTTGTTGCTGGGGAGGATCTGTTGTTGCTGTGGAAGATATTTTGTTGCTGGGGAAGATCTATTGTTACCAGAGAGGATCTATTGTTGCTGGGGACTCTATTGTACTTGTATTCCAGGAGGACATACTGTATTGTTGTTGGTGAGGATCTGTTGTTGCTGGGGATGCCGCTATAGTAGGCAGCAGCTGGATGAATCACCAGGTTGAGGTTTTGTCTACATGCGGTCCCTGCGTCCACAGACTGCGCTCTCATAGAGGGAAGCTCTGTTCTCTGGCGGATATTTTACTTCTACAACAAACAAGGGTGGAAAGGTCTCTAAAGCTGCCAATCAAATAAAAATGGCATAAAAGTGACAGTTAAAGCCGTATTAAAGCCAAAGCAAACATTTATTATATTGCAGCTATGTGGTGGCTGCATTAGTTTTCTTTTTTAGGCTTTCTTCTGTTTCCTTCTGGTGATCCAACTAGTAAGTCTTTTTGTTTTTCAAAAGATCTCTTGCAGATGTATCATTCACAGGGATGAGACAAACTATTTACCACTCAGGGACGTCCCTAGGGTTGGTATCACCCAGTGCGGTAACACTTGGTGACACCCCCTCTGACGATCCCCGCAGGATGGATCGGATCTGAGGATTGAGCATAACGGATCGGAGTTCGATCCGTTATGCTCCCCAATCCACAGATCCCATCCATCCTGCGGGGATTGTCGGCTTGCTTTACAACTTACCTTTTAGGGCAGTGGATCCGGTGTCACCCCGTATAGGTTGCATGCCAACGATCCCCGCAGAATGGATTGGATCTGCAGATTGAGCATAACGGATCGGACTTCGATCCATCATACTCTCCGATCCGCAGATCCGATCCATCCTGCGGGGATCGTCGGCTTGCTTTACAACTCACCTTTTCGTGGAGCGGGTCTGGTGTCACCCCGTATAGGTTGCATGCCGCCGATCCCTGCAGGATGGATCAGATCTGCGGATTGAGTATAATGGATCGAAGTCCGATCTGTTATGCTCAATCCGCAGATCCGATCCATCCTGCAGGGATCGTCGGCTTGCTTTACAACTTACCTTTTCGGGCAGCGGGTCCGGTGTCACCCCGTATAGGTTGCATGCCGGCGATCCCTGCAGGATGGATGGGATCTGTGGATTGGGGAGCATAATTGATCAGTCTCCGATCCATTATGCTCAATCTGCAGATCCGTTCCCTCCTGCAGGGATCGCCGGCATGCAACCTATACGGGGTGACACCGGACCCGCAATAAATGACCCCCTCCCCTGAAATATAAGACACTCCTAGCAACAATAGATCCCCACCAGCAACTATATTGCCCTCCAGGAACAATAGACCCCCACACAAAATTAGATCTCCTCCAGTAACAATAGATCCCCAAGCATCCAACACCTATAGTCCTCCAACACACCCCAGCACCCCTTTCCATTACATACATCCAGTGCTGGAGGTGCCGGAACTGCATTCCTGCATATTCCCACTGAAAAAATGCCCTGTGGAGGATTCTGCACTTTAACTTGCTGCTGCCCGCTTGGTTTGCACTTTAATAAAGAGCTGCATGGATTTACCCTTCTGGTATACATTCGGTGCGGATGACTTTGTTACATTAAAGCCATTGGATCAACATAAGCCCTGGGAATCTGGAATCTCCAAGAGACCGGCTTGGCCATGGCGGCGGTCTACCTAGTATAGAGTAATACAGTCATGTCATGTCGTTTCTCTGTTCGGATTGCATGCGAGGAGGGTGAGGATGTGTCTGTTCATTGAATGTGAATGTTGTCACCGCATGACCACTTCCTCTGTCTGAGCCAAGGCGTGTGATCTCTCTGCGGCTAACAGTCAGCACATAACTGCGACTTACTCTTTTCTCAGTTGCGTTCAGGAAACCTCCATGACTGATGAGCCGTAAATGAGAACAGAAACCAAAGACACAAAGTGGACGACGAATTCACTAGGAGATCTCCGGCATCATTACACTTGTTTAAAGAGACCCTGTCACTGGAACACTCACTGCAGCCAATAAGATGATCCGTACATTGATTGTATTGTAGTGTAGGCTCACACTTGTGCGGGTCCTGCGAGTCACGTTTGTGCGGGTCCTGCGAGTCACGTTTGTGCGGGTCCTGCGAGTCACGTTTGTGCGGGTCCTGCGAGTCACGTTTGAGCGGGTCCTGCGAGTCACGTTTGTGCGGGTCCTGCGAGTCACGTTTGAGCGGGTTCTGCGAGTCACGTTTGAGCGGGTCCTGCGAGTCACGTTTGTGCGGGTCCTGCGAGTCACGTTTGTGCGGGTCCTGCGAGTCACGTTTGTGCGGGTCCTGCGAGTCACGTTTGAGCGGGTCCTGCGAGTCACGTTTGTGCGGGTCCTGCGAGTCACGTTTGTGCGGGTCCTGCGAGTCATGTTTGTGCGCGCCCAGCAGTCTGTTTATTTGAATGGGCTGCTGTACCTCTGGGAAAGGCAGGGAGAAGGTGCCAGACCCTTTCAAAAATGCTGCCACATGGAACCACATGAAACCGCATAGTATGCATGGATTCCTGTGCTCAGAATCACTGAGTGTCTTTGAGAGGGGAAGGAAAGGAAAACTATCCAAATAGGACCCAAGTTATCTATTTCAGGATGGTTCCTTTCTCTTACAGCATCCTATGGAGCCCACCTTGCATGCAGGGATGCAGATATGTCTCCCTATACTTTGTGCATCAAAAGAAACACACAGCCCCATCAGGGGCGGACTGACAACTGATGGGGCCCCCGGGCAATAGGGGATCATGGGGCCCCTGTGTCCTTGCCCAAACTCAAAAAAGCCTATGAAAAAGGTACCAGGGGCATCTCATGGGGCCCCATACTGACCCCGGGCCCTCGGGCAGCACCCGAGTTTCCAAATGGTCAGTCCGCCCCTGAGCCCCATAACCAAGGCACTCTTCTGTTTTGCAAACAGTGTCTATGGAGATTTTCACACTCCACCCAGATTCAGTCACTTATTTCTAGATGGGTTGCATGCAGACAAGATAATAACTTAAAACCATAAAATGCGACTCTCCAATAAAACGATATTTCTAGCTGAATATTGCATGGAGATGTTGTGACATTGCTAAGAAATCCCTTTAATAACTTGTTAAATATCAACTAACACTGGGTGACAACTCTGAGCGCCAAACCAAGCTTGCGATAGAAAAAAAAAAGAAACTTTTGTGCAATGGAGATTATTGGTCTGTGCTGTGTAATGGAGCGCTTGGGCTAGCTGGGGAAGAAATCGAAATCTGAACTCCAGGCAAACAGCAAAATACACAGCTGTACACATCGATCAGCCATAACATTATGACCACCCACCTAATATTGGGTAGGTCAGGTCTGTTTGGTGGCGGCCCTGACCTGCCGAGGTCTGGACTCCACTAGACAAAGCGTCTCATGGCCCCGGCCAGCTTACCTTCCTCTCATAGTGTATCCTGGTGTCATCTTTTCCCCAGGGAAGTGACGGGCACACACCCGGCCATCCACATGACGTACGTACTATTCATCAGACCAGGCCACCTCCTTCCATTGCTTCGTGGTCTGGTTCTGATCCTCACGTGCCCATTGTAGGCACTTTTGGCTATGGACACGGGTCAGCATGGACATCCTGATGGGACCCATACCTGTCAGTGGTCAATTTACCTGTCAGTGGTCACAATGTTATGGCTGATTGGAGTATATGGGAGCTGTTTTACCTCCCAAGAGAGCTGAATTTTTGTTGTCCATCCAGTCCTGGAAAATACACAGCTCTGCCAGACTGTACAGGTAGGTTTGTGACTTGCATTTTTTTCTGCTGCAGTTAAAGCTGAACACCAG